CTCTTCAACCTGTTAGAGGCCATAATGGGCTGGTCAATACTCTGTCACTGAGAAGAGGAGAGGGAAAATGAAGTATGTTCCTATTTGGAAGTGAGTTCAGGAGTTTTGCTGTCCGGCAGGCTGACCAGATGATATATATATATATATATATATATATATATATATCATCATATATATCTACCAAAACAGCCTTCTGACTCTGGTTGTTAGTCTTAAATTGTTTCTCATTTTTAATGAGTAAACCAAATGGTTTATCGGGACTGTGAACAGAGTTCTGTTATTTGCGTTTTGTCTGGAGTTTGTGTTCAATATAGTCACATATTTGATAGTTATGCTCTGTAAAATGTTGTTTTTTTTAATTAGTTGAAATATAGGCGTCTTCATTTTATACAGATGTTGGCAGCCCTGAGCCAATAAGGGTTCACTCACAAAGCGACAGGGTTAAATTATATAATCTGTGAACATTTGTAAAGTAGACTGTGACTGATCTAAATAGTTCATATGGTTGTGTATTTTTTATATTCCATCATCAGCAGTATTCACAGATATATAAAAAGGAAAAGGTGTGTTACATATTTTTGATTTGCATTACACAACCCGTGTTTGCCTTGGAGACTTAATGCTGCATTAACCAAGTTTAATTTCTCATAATGCAAATGTTTTGCTTTGAGTTATTGAACGAAATTGCTTATGATTAAAAACAAAACTTGCTTAACGATCAAAGTTTTAACCCAAACTGTATGTAATGTGTTGCTTACCAACGGTTTTGGTGTGGAGGCCTGATCAGATCGGAAAAGCATGCATCGTACTGTCAAAGTAGAAAACTCTTCCAAATGATAAAATAGACTTTTTTTATTACTTAAACTGCATTTTACCATTATTTTTTTACACACAGTAGACATTTTTAGACATTTTTTTAGGTCAAACTGCTTTTGTCTGAGCAGCAACCTGTGCCCATGGGTGTGAAACCAGAGCTCCACAAGTACCATGATGCTCTCTGGATCACATCTTCTCATATTCATGCCCCTTCCTCGTGTTGTTTTTTCTTTGTCTCAGCATACCACAGACTCTTTAAATTGAGACAGAACTCATCATTGTAGGTAATAGCAGTGGAGTGTTACACATAGAGCGCAGAGATTACTCTGCTGTTATTTTGGAAGCTCTGCCTGCATCGTACTCAATTAAAATGTTGTGGAAAACGGGACTCACCACTGACTCCTGTGGGAAGCTCAACACATGCCGACTTTGGTCTTATTAAAACCACATAAAACTAGAAGAAGTAGTCTCTTAATGCTTTGAATTAACCGTGAATTAAATTAAAAAAAGAACATTTTTTAAAATCTAAAGTCTTTTTAATTTTCAGTTTTTGCACACAGGTACCCCTGCAGAATAATGCTAAAGCATCTATTTTTACTCTGCCTGTTCATTTGTGATCCTTGCGGAAGAAATGTCAGGAAATCAAGGAGGGAAGATGAGCGTCCGCCACGCGATGTTTGAAGTCCCGATTTTAAGCGTCTGCGGGGAACCAGGAGGAAACTGACTGACTGTCTTGTGATCGTCGGATGCTAACGTCGCTAACCTCTAAAATCGTCTCAGTCCTTTTAAGAAGGTGACTGTTGTTCAGTGTTATAGTCATTTTATATATCTAATTAACCCCATTTGTTTGTGCGAAGCCGGTGTGAGGCGCAGTGGACGCCTCGGTGAGATTGGCACTAAGAGACAGCGATTTTGAAGTGAAATAACAAAGGCTACTTATCTAATTGGTAAACAGAGCTCTTAAATAGTGGTCAGCCTAAACGCTTGCAGGACGCTGTAATTGCTGCCAGCCCTGTTGTACAGATGCAGGCGTGCACGCTCGCATCACAGTCACCCACGGCTTTCTTTCTTTTTTTTTTCCCTCCTCCTCCCTCTGCTCCCGGCCCACCTCGACTTCCTCCACTCAAACATAAATACGCTGATAACCTCAGGTCTGAACCCCTCTTTAAAAATTCCATTGAAGAAGTCGGTTGCCCCTCCCTCCTGCTTCTCCTCCCTCCCTCGCCGTTCTCACACGAGCTTGTCATACCTTTAGTTGGATGATAGCCAGGCTGAGCGTGATGACACTGAGGCCGGTGCCAGAAACATTAAGCATGTCTTGCTGTTCCTCTGGGACTGTCAAACACTGATGCACATCATGATTTAGAGCTTTGAACTTCTCACCGTAGAGGACCATGATTAAGCTTCGTGCCCCTTTTAATTTCTCCATGCTTTTGTTTTTTTTTTAAGGTGCAAAAGGTGTTTCCAAGCTCGTAAAGCTTGTTTTAATACATTTCCAGGCTTTCTGAAAGGTTTCCGTTGGACTTGAATGCTTTTCTTAGATTCATTTCCTGTTCTATTGTGCTTAAAACATGATCAAAGTGAATGAAAATAACATCCAGCGAACATCGAACGGGACCTGAGTAATGCGTGTTTCTTCTCACCAAACAAAAAGAAAATTATCCACCAAACTATCGATCCAGAGCGCTTTCAATGGTTTAAAAAAAAAAAAAAAACTAACTCTGAGAAACACAAGACTTCATTTATTTTTCGTTCGTGACTTTAATCCTGTAGCTTTGAAGTCCCGAACAGCTCCCTCACCTGAGGCACGCCATTTGCAAAACGAGATATTTAGCTTGTTGTCGAGTCATAAACTGAAAAATTAGGTAAAAGCTCTTGAATTGTTTCACATGTCAGGGTCTAATTGTTGACTTCCTGTTGCAGCATGCATCTTTACAAAATGAAAAAAAAAAAAAATCTTTAAAAAAATCAGTTTGTTCTCTGTTTTCTTTGGGCATTAATTTGATCATGAGCTCATAAAGTCTCCCTGTGTTTCCCCAGACATGTTTGTGTTGCATTATTACAGGGAATAAGGCAGCACGGCTTGTAAAAGTGTGTGCGATTCTTTGTGTGTGTGAGTGTGTGTGCGTGGGTGTGTGAGAGAAAGAGTGAGAGAGCTGCTAGCTGAGCAGCCTGCTCTCTTGTTGGAGAGCTGTAAAACCTCCAGACTGCAGGAGTTGCCAGCCTGGAATTCACTAATGACACACGTGGGCCTCAGATGAGAAGTGCAATTTTGTGCAAGGGGTGTTTGTGTGTTTGCACTGGTGCCGTTTGAATCAGAAGGCTCGGGCTGTACGAGAGTGTCTGTGTGTGTGTGTGTGTGTGTGTGTGTGAGAGAGAGAGAGACAGAGAGAGAGAGAGAGAGACCCCCTGTCTCCCAGCGATTGCACTCACAAGAGCCCCTACCTTTTACGCTCAGACCTGCTGAAACGAACCCGGTCCCGTCTCGGTCCCGGTTTCACCTAAAAGCAGCGCGTTAATGAGAGAGCAGCCATCATCTGGCTCTTCGCGGGTGAAGAGGGGGTGTTATGTGAAAGGAATGGGGCCACAGGCACATGGGTCTTTAAATCCTCTGTGTCAATAGAGTCTCTGGAGCAAAATAATGGCATCACTCTGTGTGGGAGTTAATGTGAGCTGATAGCATGAGGGCCGGGGGTCAGGGGTTCATGGGCTTATGCTAGGTTGACAGAGAGCTGAATGCTTTCGGCCCCCCAACTTTCCTCTCTGCCACTCTAAATCTCCTCTTTTACCTCTGGACCTGAGGAAGGGTTGCGGAGGGTGATGGTGAGGGATGTCAGAGGAGGAGATGGGGGGCGGCGGAGGGGAAACCCGCTTTTTCAAATCGAGACAGACAGGTGACAAATTGAAGTGAAACTTTTGACTGAGCGCAAAAGAAAACCGCACGTCTTTAATCTTCCAGCTCTTTGTTAATTTTGCCATATGGGCTTTGCAGAGGAGAAAGATCATTGGCCAAGATGGACCTAATTATGGCGATCAGTTTGTGGACTTTTGTGTTTAAGTAATCAAAGTTTTTCTTATTTCTAATAATGATGAGAATCTCCTGAATCTCTGCACGCATACATACATTTATCACTAGAAGAAAGGCAGATCCTAATCTGGAACATAATTAATTTTCTACTAATCAAGATATAGTTAATTACATCTGAAGGGAAGGAAACTGCTGATTGAAAACAAACCTCATAGGAAATTACCTGCTTTGAAAATGAATCAGTCGTCCTGCCGCCCGTTTTGTCGCCCCCTTAAGGTCATGATAAGCACTGCAGAGTGAAAGGACTTTTGAGATCCTGAGACTAGATTCATCATTGGATTACACAATATCTCAGTGCTGGAATGTCTGGAATGTGCAGATCTGGATTAGTATTGAAAATAGAAGTTTCAGTATGGAAATATTGTGAATGTTCTGGCTTTATTCCTTGATATTAAAAGTGTTTTTAATATTGACATGTATTTAAACAACAAGTTTTATGTCAGACCTAGTGATAGAGGCAACAAATAAATACACAGAAATTCAAAAATCTAAAGCCTAGATCTACCTGCGGTTTTGCTACCAAACAGAGCATTGAAAAGGCAGATTTTTATTTGTTCACAAATTATGCTGTAAAGAACCTTAGCGTAATATAATAATAATTTACATATTTTTAGGTAAAACAGCTACAAACACTTAATGTTTTTAAGAATATATTCTTGCTAATTAGTTGTGTGGAACTAACAACTTTTAAGATAAAAGCATGTTTTGATTTTTCGTTTTTTCTTTATGATGCTTTTAGTTTAAATATTTTATTGAACTGATGAAAGTTCGTCGTTTGATCTGTGGGCTCTGCTACCTTTAGAGAAGCGTCTCCACTTAAATGAATGAATCAAAGCAGAACTCGACACGCAGAGAAAGTAATGACATTCATTTGGATCGGGTGTGGTGAAGCAGCTCTAAAAGCTGCAGGGCACCGGCCCCTGAGAGCTGAATTTGGGAGCCACTGTTTTAAATGACAAAGAAACAGCGTATGTCACATTTTATATATACACACACACATATACCAACTTTGCTACCGAAGCTTTGGTGGTGAAATCTCTGCTACAGTGACCTGATGACGCTGACATTATCTCTCCCGTCTCTGTTTTCCTGTCAGACACTGGTACCTCCATCGGCTCCTCCACCTCCGGCGGACACCGCTCTCACTGGTGCAGCGTCGCCTACTGGGAGCAGCGGACCCGCGTGGGCCGCCTGTACCCGGCCTACGAGCCCTCACTCAGTATCTTCTACGACCTACCTCAGGGCACGGGCCTCTGCCTCGGCCAGCTCCACGCCAACGCCTACCGCAGCCGCCACGAGGACCCGAGCATCCACGCCGCATCGGACCCTTACCGGCACCACAGCCACGGAAGAGGAGGGAGATCGGGAGGCAACGGCAGCGGCAGCGGCGGCAATGTACAACAGATTCGCAGTAAAATCGGTTTCGGCATCGTGCTGAGTCGCGAGGCCGACGGCGTGTGGGTCTACAACCGCAGCCAGCACCCGGTGTTCGTCCACTCGCCCACTCTGGACCTGCCGAGCGCTCGTGGGCTGAGCGTGAGGAGGGTGATGCCTGGTTTCTCCCTCAAGGTGTTTGACTTTGAGTGTTCTAGCTGGATGACAGAGCACGGCGTGAAGCCAGAGACTCAGGAAGGGCCCTGGGACCCCCACAGCATCCGGATCAGTTTCGCTAAGGGTTGGGGCCCCTGCTACTCCAGACAGTTCATCACCTCCTGCCCCTGCTGGCTGGAGGTGCTGCTCAACACCCACAGATAGCACACCGACACGGCCCGACTCACAGGAAGCAACCAGACTCACTACCCCAATTGTAATCTACCTAGATTTAATATAAATTTATATATTATATAAAATATATTTTACATGTAAATACTTGAGTCATTTTTACGATGCAATTATTTATGTATAGTGTAATGTGTATATTGTCAACATAAAAAGGAACAAGAATATGCACTTTGATTCTATATATGCATTACAGCCTTTCAGTGTCTTTTGTTTTTTCAAACCTAAACTGTAAAAGTGACAAACTTGGTTTATGTTCTCAATATTTTTCAATTCCATTAAAATATTTGCATCACACAAACACACACACATTGTCAATAAAGTATTTGTATTAAATGAATGCCTCTGTGGTGGTTCAAAAGCTATTAACTGAGCTAAAATATCATTATATTATATTATATTATATTATATTATATTATATTATATTATATTATATTATATTATATTATATTGTAAAACAGCTGCTATTTCACTGTTTCATATTATTTCAGTTGACTAATTTAAGATCACAACCAAGTATCTAAAATGTTTTATATTATTACTTAATGGCCTTCTTCTCACATGTCAAAGAGTTATTTTTTTAGTTTGTTCCTCCAAAAGCAAACAATTTCAGACTAACTTGCAGATTTTGTAATGGATCAGATATTTCAATGTGTTTCCTTCACACTTTGTAAATTTGAACTCCTGCTGTTGGATTTGGAGACACATCTGGGTGAAAGTGGTTACCCCCCCCCCACTCACCCTCCAAACACTTTACATTGATTTAATGTGATTAAAGAAGAGAATAAGCAAAGAAAAACACAAAGACCTCCAGAAAGCCTGGAGAAATATTGATCATAAGCACCTTAAAGAAATACAAGGAAAGCTTGACTCTTAAGTAGCAAAGAATTAAGAAATTATTATTTTCTCAAAGGCTAAAAACGAGGGAAAAATGCAGCTTTGCATTTTTGTTCAACTTGAGACTAACACATCATGGCAATATTTTAAGCATTATACATATAAAGAAGAAACATTTGCCCGTCATGATCTCGCTTAACACGCCCGCTGTTAGCATGCCAACCTAAAAACAACCAGACTCCTTTGTAATTTTTTTAAACATAAAGTAAAAAAAAAAAAAAAAAGGTTATCTGGTTCAGTCAGTTCTAACCACCGTGCAGCTTACTGTCACTCCACACACATGCAAAGCAAATGAAGGAATGTAAACTCATTTACTGAGTGGATTATAAAGCAAAGCCACATCATGAAAAGCTTTACAGGGCTGCTAACAAATCCCAAAAAGCTTTTGTTTTAACGAGGACCTTCAGGCACGGCCGTGATGTGTTGCAGATAGGAATTTTACAGTTAAGCTAAAATGTTAAGACAGCAGACATTTGGGCTCTTTAGCACCAGAGGAACGTGCATGTTTTATTCTGCTAGAAAAAAACAAAACACTGTTCTTGTGTTCTATTTAAAATCTTTTTCAAAATCTATAATCAAGCTTTAACTATCATCTTGGCTTTAAAAGCACTGGTGGCGATGGAAAACAGTGAAAGGAAGGCATCTCGGTGCCAGTGGTAAGGAAATAAAGCGCATAACTAAGAGATTACACAACAAACCACAGCATGGCGCTCAGGCGCGCACCCACTGCAGCAGAAAGCTCTCTGCTCATAGCCTGATGGCATCCTGACAACGCAATCATTTATGGAAACTCGCATTGGAGCAGAAAGAATGAGATTAAAAAGGTAATGTAAGCAGGAAAAGGCGCTCAAAGCGAAACTCAGGCCACGAGTCCAAGGAGAAAAGGAGCTGCAAGCCTCCCTGGGTTCAAGCAGTCAGAATTTTTTTATTTTTTATTTTTTTGTTTTGACCCTGGATCTCTGCGGGCTCCCTGCTCCAACCTGTAATTAGCCTCGGCCTAAAAAGCTACGAGAGTTTGATTACAAACTTGCAGCACTCCTGAGGAAAACTAATTAAGCATTTCAGTGTTCAAAAAATCTTTCCAGGGGCCACCATATACTTACATTCAGAGCTTAAAAATAGAGCTGCCAGCGCAAGAGGAACAGAGGCTAATTCAATGAATAAGCATCGACTTTTGATTTAAACTCTTATTTGCATAGCTAGATTTAATCATTTCGAAAGTTTCTGGGGCATTCCCGTACCCCCACTCACTGAAGAAAATTCCAATGTATATTTCAATCCAGTCTCCTCTTTGCTCTTCCAGGAAAAGTGTGGGATTTGTGGTTTGGATACAGTAAAAGGATTCAGAGGAGGGGCCACTGGTGGGAGAGCGGCCGCTGGCAGGACTCGTCTAGAGCTTACCGCGTTTCCATGCCACCCTGTTTTCTTTTCACCTGGGTCCATTTTCCTATCCTAATTGTTTTTTGTTTTTTTTTGCTTTTTTGCTTTATTCAGATTTACGGTCATGGAGGAGAAGAAATGGATCCCAGGCTCCGAGCGGTGGAAAAGGCTCTCTGGCTCTTGTCCTGGGTGCTGCGGTGGCTGCCGACCTCACAGTGACCTGAAGGGAAACTGCTTAATCCTGCCACTGGCTCTTGAACTCCACCCCTTCACTGTATAATCATCCCTACACAGCTCATGGCATTGTAATTATCTTAATGAGCGTACGAGACTTTTTGAATTAATGGAAAACCATTTTGTGTGTGTTTTTTTTTTTTTTTTTTTTTTTTTTGGGGGGTGTCAAAAAAAAGGGGGGATTTTTCTCTGAAACGGCCGT